TTGCATCGGTGTTCAAGGTGTGACACTCATACTCGCCTGCGTCCTTCACCTGGAGCTTTGAGATGTGCAGGAGCACCGAGTCTCCCCGCACCCTCTCTATGTAGATGTCTCCGCTTTGCACCCGCTGTGCGTACACTGCGTAGGAGAAGGCGGCGTCGCTGGTGCTAACGATCTGTATCTCCCGGGCTGGGGCAGCGGACAGGTACACAGACCACTGGAAGTGCTGCTCCGAAGGTCCCTGGTAGCCAGTTACGTTGCAGCCAATGCTGACAGCGTAACCTTCGGCTCTATACAACGGTCCTTTCTGAACTGTTACTTCTCTCTGGCCAGTGCTGAGCTTAGCTTGCAAATAGGAGAAAGAGAGGGGAATAAAAATAGATTAGTACTCTGGTTCCCAATGTACCACATTATGTCGTTCCCTATATTACAATTCTGGTAAATGAGACTGCAGGTTATTAGCAATAATCAACTCAAATGTTCTCCACTTTCTGTATGGTTAAGCAGCAGAGGAGGGGACTGATGAGTTAGTTGTTCTTTTATAACTAACTTCCACAGTAATCTCTGGTCTCTTCAAAAAAAAAAATTTAGCTTTATCCATGTAACATGGCTGCATCCATAAAACACAGACTTATCTAAGTGCATTTATTTTAAAGCAAATACGATGTGTGATAATTTATTTTTTCTACTATTTTGTGGGGAAATTCAGCACATCCTCAAATCTTAGTTTCCAGAGCTATTCTTACAGACACGGTGGCGGCTGGAGAGGCAAAGTCTATCACTCTGCCCACAGAGCCCTGATTTTTCTGACTGATTGGTTAGAAATATTTGTAGCTCTTAGCGAGATCTGATGCAAGATTAGCCAAAATTAGCATCTGAAGTGGCAGTGGCACTTCCTTCCTATGCTGCGGAGAGTTTTGTTTTAATTTCTAGAGAGCCACAGTAGTTTTACTGAAAAGCTTCATGCTGGAGGACCATAAAGTCCTGCGAGTTTGGGGATCAAAATTTATTTTACTTGTTCTCTCTCTTTTACTTTTTCCTGAAGGTTTTCAGCTGGGACCACTGTGGAATGTTTTCTATTGAAACAAATCTTAATTATTCGATCTAAAGGAGAAAGCATAATTGAATGGCAACATTTCATGAGAAAAAAAATTAAGCCAGCGTTTTTCATAAACAAGTTTATGTTTATTTATTATGGTTAATATTGAGGGCAAGATCATTTTTATCCCCAGAGAAACAAAGACCAATGACAGATGCCACAGGGGTAGGGCAGGCTAGGTCTTTCACTAGCAGCGGGGGTGCAGTGGCCAGGGAAGAGAAGGCTGAAAGCCACCAGAAGGCTCTAGAGGGAGTGGTGGCTGCCCTTCTGGAGTTAACAGAGCAGAGTTCTTCCGAAGAATTGAGATCTTCCAGTTCCAGGAGCTTGGTCACCGAGGTTTACAGTGCAGTTCTGGCCAAGTCCAAGAACCACACCACACACAACCAGTCCCAAAAATGGCACAGAAATGGCATCAAGGAACCTCAGTCACAAAGATACGAATCTCTGAGGGGGATAGATCCCAAGTTCCTTAGGAAGATGTGTTTTTCCAAGAAGCACAACCAAACAAAAAGGGCTTCAAGAAGATGCAAGCAAACAGTGCCAAGGCCAGAAGTGCACACGCTGAGGCTGTCCAGGCCCTCGTCAAGCCCAAGGAGGTCAAGCCCAAGATCATCCCAACTACAGGCTTGCTCGACTGGCCTATATTGCCCACCCCAACCTAGGGAAGCGTATCCACGCCCGCATTGCCAAGGGTCGCAGGCTTGCCGGCCAAAGGCCCAGGCTCCAGCCAAGGCCGAGGATCTAGATTCTGCTCCAGCGCAGGCCCCCAAAGGTGCACAGGTCCCCGTGAAGGCTCCCGTAAAAGCCTCTTATTTGCTGATGTAAAAACAGAAGGACTGGTGTGACCCCTGGGGTGCCATCTCTGAGGGGTTGGTGTCCTCCTGTGCTCTCTGTACAAATAAACCTGAGGCAGAATTTAAAAAAAAAAAGAAGAAGAAGAAGAAGAAGAAAAGAAGCCACAGAAACAAAGTATGTGCTAATTTTTTTTTTTAATTTTATTTTAGGGAAGGGTCTACAGGGTATTCAGGGTCTCACTACTAGATCAGACTCATAGTGATCCACCTGTTTACAGCCTCCCAAGATCTGGGATTACAGGTGTGTGCCACCACACACAGTCTCCATTGCCGTCTCAGCGCACCCTGGGGATTAGGGCCGGCACAGCAGGCCTGGGGATTGAACCCCCGTCCCCTGTGCCTGCTTACAGGTGCTTTAATCTGCTGAGCTATTTGGCTGGCCCTATATGTGCTGAATTGTGTGACTTCACAAAGACAAAGAGAAAAGGCAACTGCATGAGGAAAAAGTCAAGGAAAGAAAAACTGATGTTACAGAGACCATGGAAAGGCTGAGTATGGGGATTTTAGATGAAATGCAAGCACTCCTGAAGCATGTCAGGGCACTTAGAAAGCAAAGGGAGGAGTAGGAAAAATAAGTGTTCTCCTGACTCAGTCAACTCGAACCTGCATAGGTATGTATTCGATTTCAAACAGATAAACAAACTAGCCAGTACCCAGTCAACCAGCCACACACATTTCCAGTAATAAATTAAATACACTAATTTATTAATAAAATCTCAAAAAAATTAATCTTGTGTGATAAATATCTAGAAATAGGAGTTAAATCATCTTAGAAAAATATAAAGTATTACTTACCAAAAAGTTATGCTATAGAGGCAGTTGAAAACCTTTTTCAAGGGCTGGCAAGATAGCTCAGTGGATTAAGCGCCTGCTTAGGGAAGCAAAGGAACCAGGGTTCGATCCCCAGTACCGCATGCCATGCCAGCCCTGCCCTGAGGCATGCTGAGCCTATGTCCAGGCATGGTGGTGCATGCCTGTAATCCCAGCACTGGGGAGGCTGAAAACCAGAGGATCACTATGAGTCTGAGCTGCATAGTGAGACCCTGTACCAAATATATAAATTAACAAAAACTTTTCAGCAACGCCACCTTAGAGAAATGCATGCGTGGTGCACTGGGCTACGTTTATTGCCACTGTTCATTATAACCCCAAACAAGGGACAACCTACATGTCCATCAGCAGCACAGAGGATGCTGGAGAATGGTGCAGTCATAAAACAGAACGTTACACAGAGTTGCAAATCAATGAATGGCAACCATTTGTTAATAACATGGACGACTGTGTCCGATCAAAGATGAAAGATATTTATTTATTTAGGTTTTTGAGATAGGGTCTTGTATGTATTTCAGGCTAGCCTGGAACTCATTATGTAGACCAGGCTAGCCTCAAACTAATGGCAGCCTTCTTGTCTCAGCCTTCTGAGTGCTAGGATTATAGGCATAAGCCACCATACCTGGTTCAAGCCACTGAATCTTTCTGTTAGTGTGCAGAAATAATTCTATTGTCTATGAAGTTTGAACGCAGGCAAAGCCACACTGTACTGTTTTGTTTGTTTATTTGGCTGCTCAGCCTGCCCTGAGGGCAGGGCTGGCACAGCATGTGGTGCCAGGGATCGAACAATGGTCCCCTGAGCCTGCCTAAGCTTGCCAAAGCTTGCTGAAGCAGGTGCTTTAGACCACTGAGCTATCTTACCGGCCCCTACACTGTACTGTTTAGTGATGCGTTAAAAAGCTAGGAAGTTGTTGTAAGAACCAGGAAAGTGATTGTGTGGGAAGCAGTGTGATCCGACGGGGCACTTGTTCCTGGCTGTGCCCAGGATGAGTGTGGACTTCTAGGGTCTGCAAGTCTTCTGCTTCTTGACCTGGATAGTGCCTGCAAAGTTTTTGATTTTTTATTATTTGTCAAGCTGTATATTTATGTTTTATTAGCCTTTTCTTAGATATTTCACCATAACTTTTTAAAATATGAGTTTTGAGGTCTCACTAACCTGTTTATATCAGGGCATGTTTCCATACGTTATTTTCGGTGGGTGGGAAACACTTCTCCAACACTCTGTCACTTTTCAGTGAGACAAGTGCCACATTGGAAACATTTTGTGAAAATCAGCACTTCGCTCTCCACTGTTTGCTTGCCAACTCAAATATTTATTCAACCATTTAATTGTATCTCAGATGTGGCAGATCCTAAGAGAAGAAGATGAGTTTGGAATGGGCCCTTCTAGATTTTCCCATCTAGTCAAGGAGGAGGATGGTCATCTCTCTATGAGACAGAAAACGTTTTGAAGCAATTTGATAAAAGCTGAAATTATACCATTTGAGGGAAAGACATCGACAAGGTTTATGGGAGAGATGGTGTTTACTGAGAATTTAGGAAAATCAGAAATACTAACAAGTGGATGGAGGGGACACAGCTTTTATGAATAGGAATCAAAAGATTTGTTCAGAAAATAGCAAGTAGACTGGAGGAAGGAAAGGTTACATGATGATTAAAAGGAAGGGCTGTCAGTAGCTTGGAGTCTCCATTTATGAAGGATTCGACTGTGATTCATTAGGCGATAGCAATCCACAGGAAGTGTTTGCAAAGTGTTAGGAGAGGGGCTGGTGAGATGGCTCAGTGGTCTAAAGCACCTACTTAGAACAAGCTTGAGCAAAGCAAAGCACAGGGACCGCGGTTCAATCCCCCAGCACCACATGCCAGCCAGCCCCGCCCCCTGGTGGGCTGAGCTGGCCACACACGCACGCACACACACACACACACCCATAAATAAATAAATAAAAAATCTATTAAAAAAAATTAAAAAAAATAAATTAAAAAAAAAAGTGTTAGGAGAAGTAGCCTGATGGTTGTGTGGGGGATGACGGAAGTCAGAAACAGACATTGGGTAATTACAATAGCACGGGACCGAGGCGATGAATACTTTGAGATGAAAAGAAAAGGACTGAGAGCTACAACCCATAGGTTTTGGTGTCTTGGATGCTTGCGGGCTGTAGAGCTAAAGAGAGGAATATCAGGCAAGAAGAAATCAAAGATATCCAGGTTATATAAGACTGGGAGATAACTGTACTCAACAGAAGTCAAGATAACAGAGAGAGCTGCTTTTGTTGCATGTTCAAGGGTGAGGAAGAAGATGATGAATTTCAGAAACATAAAATGTGGGCACCACAGATAGCCAGCCAACATTTGGAAATTGTATTTAAGTGTGCGTATTTTACTTTAAAGCTTAGTCACCCTTTGAAAATATGTGTAATCCGATCTTTCAAAAATTGATATTCCCATGTTTAGTAATGTCAAAAGTCATTGGTGATGGATTGAGCATAGACATGCACATCCCTGAAACTGCCTGCTCATACCCAGGGAGTGTTCTCAGCTGGAGCTGGGGATGAGGCCAGTCACAGATAAGTACTGAGAAATGTTAAAGAGTCCAGGGAAGAGCATGAAGGAGAGATTGCTTTAGGGTGGGAGGTATGTGGCTCAAATCCTCCAGGAGGAAGCGTTGGGGAGGTGGGAGGGCAACCAGGGCTCAGTGGCATAGGGATGAAGGGCAGCAGAATATTCTAGAGGAAAGTGCTGGTCGGCACTGCCAGAGGCTGCTGGACCACAGGGCACTCCACAGGCCAAGAAAGGTGTGTTAATGGCCTGCTGGGGAGGAGCTTGAGAGCTCTGTGAGAAATTTCAATGGAAGAATAAGAAGCTTTCAAGGGCAAGAAGAGACTGTAATGAAGGCTAAGCCATTGCAAAAAATTTCAGAGTGAAAGAAAAGAGAAATGTGGAAAGCCTACCCAAATGATGAGTAGGGAGGGAGGGGATGTGTAGGGCTCCTCTGCATGTTTACAGGCAGAGGCAGCAGTAGGCAGAGCGGTAGAGATGGGTGAAGCCAGAGAAGATGAGAAGCCTAAAAAGGCCCAGGGTCAAGAAGATGACTCGGCTATGGTCTGAGAGCCTGTGTCCTCCCAAAATCCACACACTGGAAGGTAAGCCCCAGGTTGCTGGTGTTAGGAGGTGGGCCTTGAAGAGGTGATTGGGCCAGCAGGCCCCTGACCTTGTTGTGGCATTAGCGTCCTTAACGGGAGACTTTGTGAGCAGCTAGTCTTTTCCACCGAGTGAGGACTCCGCTAGAAAGTTCCATCTATGAGGAATAAGTCCTTGTCAGACCCCAAGTCTGCAAATGCTTCTTCCCCTCATACCCGTATCCAGAGGGGCAAAGCACAAAGTCCTGTTGTTTCCAAGCCTCTTCGTTTATAATAATTTTCTCATGGCAATCAGAACACACGGAGATTTGCTGCCTCCCCGGGAAGGTGAAGGAAAGAGTGTGAACGCCTCATAGGTATTTTTTGAAGTGAACAGAAATAACAGAGATCAGCGCAAGGGGCTCTGCACCAAGCGGAGCGGTCAACAGCTACACTCTCTCGGGGTTGTTCTGGGGACAGATCTCGCTTCCTCCTAACCAGTAAAGCCCCTCTGAGGACTGGCTCATGGTTTCATTTTTAAGAGACAAAGGGCTGGACCCTGCAGCAGCTCAGGCTCATATCTGATGAGTCTGTAATGCGGAACTGATGCTAGCATAGGAGTCTTGCCCTTGAAGCAATTAAAATCCCTTGATGGTACCGGGTGTCTTTTTAAAAAAAAAAGTGCCAAGAGCTCAATGTGGTGAGGACCAAAAGTTGGAGCTCCACCTGGGCAGCTTAGTGACTCAGTGAGCCTTTGTCTAAATAATAAATAAATAAATAAATAAATAAATAAATAGGCTAGGGATTTAGTTTGGTGCAAATGCCCTGGATTTAGTCCCCAGAAGTGGAAAAAAAAAAATTACTGGAATTGTCAGAGTTACAATTTCAGTATTATCTAATTGAAAATTATTAGGTTGGACCATATAAAATGACGTTCAGCCATTTTTGATATTTAAAACTCCAGGAATATCAAGTAAGTCCATCTCATACAGAACCTACCTAGAGCACGGTCAGCGTACCAAGCACCATCTCTTTCTCTATACATATAAAAATCCTGTAAGCCAGGAATGTAGCGCAGTGGCACGGTGCCTGCCTGGCAAGTGCAAGGTCCTAAGTTCAATTCCCGGTACAAAAAAAAAAAAAGTCCTGTCAGCTTGGAGGCTGAGACGGTTTCCACCGATAGTTAAGCGAACTCTCTTTGGGTTTTTGTTTTGTCCATGAAAAGTCTCAGTAAGCAAAGAGCCCCTGCCTGCCCACGGCCCCCTGTGTCAAGGGGCCTTCATTCACCGAGCAGCTACTCAGGGCGAGAGTGAAAAGCCAAACAGGCAGAGACCCGGCTAAGTCCAAGTGCTCACTTACCTAGCAGCTTTGTCTAGCGCCATATGCTAACTTCTTATTCAGACTTTATATCCATGGCGGGGGGGGGGGGCGGGGAGAAAATACATCTGGGGGCTGGGAACACCACTCAGAGCTAGAGTTCATGTGCCAGGTCCTGGGGCTTGAGCTCCAGCATCAACAACAACACACAAAACATATTTGGTAAACAATGTAATTGATAAAAAAATTTTTTTGAGACAGTGTAGTTCAGGCTGGCCTGGACTCACTAGGTAATCCAGGCTGGCCTCAAACTTGTGGGGAATCCTCCTGCCTCAGCCTCCCAAGTGCTGGGATTGCAAGCATTCACCACCACATCTGGCTATAATAAATAAATTTGTCATGGTTTAATTAATTTCCTTTCTTCCTCCTATATTTGTAAGGACAAACAGCAGGCTTCTAGAAGTTTTTCAAGTTACCTCCTGATTTATGTATTCTTTACATAAAAACTGTGGTCCTATGCAAAATTAGTGACTGAAATGAGTCAGAAGTTAGAAGAAATAAATATATAACTTAAATGATTGTTTAAGAGGCTTCAGGAAAAGATTCCGGTATTCTTTACTGAGTCTTGGTTACTACCCTCCTTCCCTCAGGCCTCTGGCTTGCTTACCAAAACAACAAACAAAAATGACCCAGAGCGAGACGCTGCACTTCTCTGAATTATTGCACAAAGGAAACCCAGTTTCCCTTGAAGCAGAAGACAAGCGTACAGCTGAGAATCCAAGCACACACTGTTGAGAATCCTCATGGAACGGCCAGACAGGAAAAAGCAAAGCACGCCAAACCCAGGGGGGCCTCCAGGACACCTGCCCATCAGGACTAGTAGGTCTCCGTGACCCAGCAAGGGGTCCCAGGGAATCCCCTGTGGGTTACCTGTGTCCCGGTCAGGCCCAACTCTGATGCTCACCAACTCTCCCCTGCCACAAAGGAGTCCAAGGCAACTGAATCCATGTTTATTTAGCCACTCCTCCCCGCTTGTACTGAGCGCTGTACTTTTAATTTTTTAGCCACAGCCCTGGACACGCTGACCACAGCCTCAGTCAGCGCCCCCTTCATCCCCCACTCGGGTCCCTGCCTTCAAAGCAAACTTTCTTAATCTGGATCCGCAAATAGAATTGAAAGGCCCATACACTATGGCGAACAAAAACCCATATCATTTTATTTTCATTCATCTCTAATGGAAATTTAGTTCTTTCTCCACCTGGGAATGTGGACATTTTCACACCATATTACCATCGTTACAACTAAAGTAAAGTGTTCATCACATTCATCACTTCATTGATATTTAGTACTTAATAGAACCTCCACCAGATCTTGGTTTATAATACACAAAGAATCAAATTAATCACTATATCATAGTCTATTAAAATTTTTAATCACTATTTTAACATGACTAAACTCCTTTACAATTCTGTATGTCTTATTTTATGCATTTAGAAATGATTGGGAGGCCTGCGGATGTGGCAGAGTTCCTGCCTGAGTCTGCACAACGTGAGAACCAGGCTTTATCCTCAGCACCACCAAAAGCAACACAAAACAAACAAGAATTGGAGCTAAGGTCCATCACGCACCACTGATGCTAAAGGCAGCTAAAGCACAGCGCATAACCTGGCACCCGTTCTGTCTAATAGGAGCTGCTTCATTCCTCACCAACTCCTCGGATTCTCTCCTCCACCTCCACTAACTGCACCTCCAGCCCCTTGTCTTGACATGTACGTCTCTCATCTGCTAAGTGGAATCATCAATCATCCTGCTCCTGTCCGGGGCTCTCAGAGATTCATTCCCACACTACTCCCAGGCAAAGCGCAGAGACTTCTCTTAGCCCAGCGCTCCCTTTCCCTCTGCCCAGCCTCATCCCCAAGGCCTATGTGTCTAGTCCAACCCTAACCTCAGGCAAACCGTAAGTCTCCTCTCCACGTG